ATTTTTTTATTTCTCTCTCTCTCTCTCTCTCTCTTTCTTTCTTTCTTTCATTCACATTCTTTCTTTCTTTATCTTTCTCTCTCTCTCTTTCTCTCTTTCTCTCTCTCTCTCTCTTTCTCTCTATCTCTCACACACTTATCACAATATCGTATTTTACACAGATTTCACTTAGAGCTTACGTGCTAGGGGGCCTCGGTGCAATATTTACAGGCGCGTTCGAGGATCGATCTTTCTCGAAGAGGGTAAGCAGCCTATCCCTCTCTTTTACCTCCCCTTTACCTCCTTTTCCTCCTCCCTAACCACCCTTTACTACCACCCTCAACGTGTTCCGATCGATCTTCATGGCTTTGCACCGAGACTAGTAACGCTAGTAAATTCTACGGACTCTTTTTACGGTGTTTGCGCTTTTCCACCTCTTTTATTTTTAATCCTCCATCTTTTATCTATCTATCTATCTATCTATCTCTCTCTCTTTCTTTCTTTTTCTTGTATTTATTTTCTTCTTCTTCTGCTTCTGCTTCTTTTTCTTAATATTTTTCTTTCATTTTTTTACTATTTTACACATGTAGATCGGAATCCCCGTTAGAATATTCCTCGAGGAAGGCGTGACACAACAACAACACACACACATATACACGCATACACACTCACATAAGTGTAACTGGCGTGTGTTACGAGGTTCACATCCGGACACAATGGAAAAAAGAAATAATTTTTCCTTTACGCCGAGGAGACACGGCCGACGAGCTCGTACTTTAGTTCTTTTTATTCGTTTTAGAGTAACGTATTGCAGAAATATAATCGTTTAAAAGGGATTCGTGGTGTTGAATTTTTTTTTCTTCTTATTATTATCATTATTATTTTTTGTCAATAACATCGACAGTTTTATAGAAAAAAGAATTATTTTTCTGTCGACTTATATTCCCTTTTTTTGTTTTTGTTTTTTTGTAATTCCCAATTTTTCTAGGTTATAATCTAACCATATTTGAAATATCTATCGATTGTATAAGAATCAGAGAAAGATTTATAATATTTGTACTTGTATTTTCGATATTCAAAAAACAATTAATTCAAATTCGTTGATAATAATAATTAATACGAATGATATTGTTTTATAAAAGGAATTTAAGGTTATGTATTGTGCAGAATTGAATTTAAAATGAAATAAGACGATCGACGGCCATGTTAATTTCTATGTATGTCTGCATATATATATTATATATATATTTGAAGTAAAAATTGAGTAAATGAAAAGAAGAGATGGTCTTTATTTAGAAAGAGTGGTGCTTGCTGTTTTTCTCATGAGACGATGATCATTGTAGCAACCCAGACCACTACTGTATTTGGGTCAAAGCGGTGGGGCACACCGGACCTCCCAGTTTCCCGTGCTCGTAAGCCGCAACCGCCTTTTTTGCGGTTTCGTGTCGCCTCACTCATTGTCAGAGAGGCAGGTATTATGAGCACATTTTCTATATATCTCTCTCTTTCTCTTTCTTTCTCGCTTTTTCTTACTCTCTTTCACTCACTTACTCACTCACTCAGTTACTCGAGATGCAAGATGGCTAAAGGTTGACCCCAAAATGGACGCCAAGAGAAAGATTGAATATTAATTCAATTGTTCGGTTGTTATATACATTAATTCGTGATTTTTGTTTTGTTTTTTTTTATAATCGTAACATAATAAATTAATTTCTTTTTTTTTTTGACTATTATGGAAAGACTTTATATGTGTGTAACATTTTGATCTTTTTAAAAGAAGTTTTTACTAATCGTTTTTATTTGTTCGTTTATTTTTAGGTTAATTCAAGATGGACGCGCGAGAAGAAGATTGAATATACGAGTTTTCTAAGTATTGTCCTAAGTCCATTCTCTTTTCTTTTCTTTTCTCTTTTATTTACAATGAACAATTAATAAATAAAATCAAATTAGTATTGATTCTTTGTTTGATTGTTTCGGAATAATTTGATACGTTGAACTTTGTGATATTTTTGTATATATTATTATAATTATAAACCAAAAAAAAAAAGAACAATTAATAATGCTATATTATTAATGTTTATATCATTTTTTTTTTGTAATATTATCAATAAAATAAATAATTAACGAGTCAAATTTTTCCATGCAATCACAGAATTGTTCGAACAGTAGAATAATGCAATATTGAAGTTACCGTTTTTCCTGATTCGAAAGTTGACTAACTGGAAAAAGAAAAAGAAAAAAAAAAGAAAGAGAAAGAGAATTTTTTTTCAATCCCCTTTTCCGTTCCTCTGAATCAAACCACTCAACGCGGGTTCAACAACGAAGACTTTGAAGGGGGTGTGGGGGGGGGCCAACCTTTAGTTTTTTTCCTTTTCGGAGTAGACCTTATTCTTTTTCTTTCTCTCTTTCATTCTTTTTCCTCTTAGTGTTATTTTCCTTTTTCAAGTGGAAGGAAGAGAGGAGAAGTTGCCTCATCCGAAAAGGAGGAACCCGGTGATTACACCGAGCCACCGTGATTGCCGAGATCGTTGGACTCACGAAAATGTCATTAGGATTTCATTATTTTCAAGCGCCTTGAGGTACGAACGCTCAACGAGTTTATGCAATATTTTCTCTCTTTCTCTCTCTCTCATTCTTTCTTTCTTTATTTATTTTTTTTTCTTTTTCTTCCCATCTTTTTCTGTCTCACAGACTGAGCAAAGTAGGTCGAGCAAAGTAGTTGGGCAACTGTCACTAGGGATTTGTGCCGTCATACAATTGATATTTTTTATTCGAAATACAAATTGAAGTGATAATAAAAGATGATATTAACATTTGAATAAATATCCGACAAATAAATTCATAGAAAAATATGCAACAAAATATTTGTTCAATTTAAATGCATTCGCACATATCGAAATATTGTAAAGAAATTATTCTGATCGAGATATTACACGTTCGTTCGAATATAATTAAAAAAAAAAGAAAAAACCATGACGATTAAATTTCTCGCGTTTCTTTTTTTTTTTCTTTCAATAATAAATCTTCCGTTTTTTCTTTTATGCACAAAACACAATTCAGATTTATTTATCATCGATGCGTATTATCACTCATCCGTATAAAAATGACAGCACTTAGGATATCGAATATGAGACAATACGTTAAGAGATGATGACTAAAGACGATGAAAAGATCATAAAACAAGAAAAAAAAAAAAGGATACGGTCTTAGAACTTTTTATCCTTCCTCTCATACGAAGACGTAAAGGTAAAAATGATGACGTTCTTTTTTTTTTTGTATTTTCCAAGGCCACATTGATTGTACCACAACGATCGAAATTAAATTTGCCAACCGTTGGGAAATAGTGAATAGGTGGGGTGAAGGTGGTTGCAAAGAGAAAAAAATAATAATAATAATAATAATAATAATAATAATAATAATATCGAATATAAAAGAAATCTAGATGAAAAAGTGTGAAAAAGAGATAAATAGATAAGATAAAAGAATGAGAGAAAAATAATAAAAAGAAGAAAAAGTAGAAGAATAACTCTCAATCTTGTTCTTCAACAAAAAAGGAGAGCTTCAGTTCTTCTTCTTCTTCTTCTTCTTCTTATTATTATTCTTCTTCTTCCGTCCGACCAAAGGATAATTATAATAATCGCCGTGAGCGCATAGTGGCAGCTCGCTCTCGTAGTTCCCTTTCGGTGATAGTAATACGCATTTGCCGACGCCTAATGGTATTATTATAATAATTACCAACGGTTGGGGTGGGGAGAAGAAGGGGGGTGGTGGTGGTAGTGGTGGAAACTGGAATTAGACGCTTAATTAAGTTCGGGGGCCTCGAAAGTGCGAACTCGCGAAACCCTTAGTCGTGTCTCTGCAAAAGACACAACTATTATACACTCTCTCTTTCTCTCACGTACACACACATACATGTAAGACAGATATATATATATATACACGTACACACACGCGCATACACGCATTCAACGATCGACGAATTATTTTATTATTCGAATTTTTATTTTATTTTCTTCTTCTTCTTCTTTTTGTTTCTTGTGTCTTGTCCTTGTCTTGTCCATTTTTTATGTTTGTTTGCCCAGAAAAGAGAGAGAGAGAGAGACAGAGATAAGAATGTTTTTTCTTCCACCCCCACCCACCCACCCCACGCACGTACTTTACGCTTTCGTCTAGGCGAAAATTATTTTTTGTCAAACTTTTATTTCTATTTGTTTATCATTATTTTTTATTCACTTTTTTCTGCATTCTTTTTCGTTTTTTCGTTTGTCTTGCCATTAAAATTGTTTTCCCCGTCGTTCGTACGCTCGTCCGTCCGTCCGTTTGTCCGTTCGATATCGCGAGCCTGCACATTGTATTCTTTCCCTATCATTTTCTTCGTTCTTCGTTCTTCTTCTTCTTTGTTTTTGTTTGTTTGTTTGTTTGTTTGTATTTGCACTTAATGATTTTTTCGTCCTTTTTTTCTCGGATTGGCCGTAGTAAGTCCTTCGAACGAGTTACGTCATTTTTTTTCTACATTTTTGCTTTTTTCTTTTTTTGTTGTTTTTATTATTATTATTATTATTATTATTTTAAATCATTCGAGGTCGCACACAATATTATTATCGCGTTATCACTGAAACATCCCCGCGAACAACACCAACAAGTCACTTTGATATACAATTTTCTTTTTACCTTTTTTTCTTGTTTTTTTTTTGTTATATTCTTTTAACGACGAAATTGTGCAATATTTCATACAACATTCGAATCGACGTCAATTCATCGTCACAATAATTGTCGTTGATTCACACCTAAAACCTACCGCGCGTTACCACACCTCGCATCAATTTTATTTTTTTTTAATTATTATTATTTTAATTTTATTAAAATCATTTTTAATTCTTATCTCCTTGTTTTTTTTTTTTCTCATATATATATACTTATTTCTGCTTCCCATTTTTTTTTTTTTCATTTTACTTTTCTTACTTCTCTTATATTCATATTATTTTATTTTATTTTTATTTTTATTTTTATTTTATTTAACTTTATTTTATTTTATTTTATTTTATTTTATTTTATTATACACGATGATCGATCATATTTTTTTTTTCTTTTTCCCCATAACGATCGATGATCAAATCTATGTTCACCCGTGGGAGTCTATTATTTTCTACCCAACAATAATTTTTCATTAATTCCTTATTCATTTCATTTTAATCCCCTTGTTCATTACCTTGTCATCTCCACAAATCCATTCATTGTTTATATTCTTTCCTTTATTATTTGTTTATTTGTTTGTTTGTTAAATAATGAACGAATTCACAGGAATCAGAGATTTAGGATGAATTTCATTGTCCATCATTGTCTCTCGATGAAACAAACTTTAAGGGGTTTGAGAGAGGGGAGGTAGGGGGGGGGGGGCGTTGTTTGTGTTTATGTGGTCTGAGGGGTAACGAGGTGGTAATTGGGTGATTTTCACACACGCGTTTTTTGATTTAAAAATTGCAGCAAGGAAAATAATTGATTAAAAAAAAAAAATGAAAAAGTAAAAGAAACTGACCAAAATTTCGATTCGAGCAGAAAAAATTGGAGGGGGGCTGGGGGGTTACTCGATTAGTTGGTTGGTTGGTTGGTTGGTGGAGGGGCTGGGGGGGATATTTAACGTTTAACGCGAGATATCTGTTCGTGATTGGCGCCACGAATAATCTGGTACTACGTCCTCTAGAACATGGCGGACAACTTCCTCCTCCTCCTCCTCCTCCTCCTCCTCCTCATCTTCCTCCTCCTCTTCCTCCTCGACACGATTCGGGGGACGTCTTCGTTAAACCGCCGGCCACACCCTGTAACATATCACAGAGAAAAGTAGTTAATCACCGTACATACACACACACACACACCATCCATCTTTTTTTTAGCTTCTCTTTCATTTTCTGTCTCTATATCTCAACGTTGATTCGTTAATAAGAAGAGCTCTATCAACGCTACCTTGAAAATAAAAATGTTCAAAAGAAAAAACGAAACTAAAAGTATACAGCAACGGTATAACTTATCGTAACACTTTGTTAATTATCTTTTCACTTTTTCCATTAATATTCTCGTTTATAATAATAATTATAATAATAATCATTCGTCGAAGAAATACGTGTACTTTTTCGTGATATGTGTGCAACATTGTTTCGTATTATATTATATTTTATTTATTTATAACGGAACATGGGGATAGATATTTGTTACGATTTTACAAACGGCACGTGTAAGTTTGATTCGGTAATTTGGTATAGAACGGATTGTATTGTATCGAAAAATTGATTAAGTTTTTTTTATGATTTATTTTGAGGTTAACTCGCATTTACCGAAATTCATATCTTTATCATGTGTTTTATATTTTAATGATTATTATTATTAAACTACGAAATAAACTTCGAAACCAAGCTTGATATATATTCTATTTGATTTTTGTCAAAATTTATAAATAAAAATATAAATAATATCATTATTAAGACCACGAATATAAGTTTGTTCCATTACTTCCATCTTTTTAAGTACGAAATGTTCACGGAGAATATTATTATATCTCTTATATTTAATTATTATAATTAATCAATTGTACAATTGTACAAACTCACGTGAGTAGTCCAGGATTAGGATCAGCTTGATACCAAGAGTACTGTGGCATGTAACCCGCGTGATGTGGGGGTGGTGGTGGTGGAGGTGGATGATGTCCAGGCGTGTGTGGATGATGGTGAGTATGTGGTGGGGCATGGGGATGAGGATGGTGTTTCATCTCACCCGGCCAGGCGGGTGCAGGGGGACTTTCGTTATGCTGAGGCGACATCTCACTTCCAGGACTCGAACTTCCGGGGGTGTGACCACCACCACCACCCCCCATTCCTCCTAGGTACCCTGTCGTCGGACTACCCGAAACAGAACTTCCACCTCCTGTTAACATAACCGGCCAATCTTTGTTAACTCGTTAAGATCTATTCTAGATCTCTTCCATTTCATATTACAATTATATCATTAGTTTTAAATCATACGTCTTGATTATTTTATTACAATTATAAATTACAATCTGTGACGTTTATGATCGTTAACAAAATTAACACTAGAACTATATTTAACTGTTCTACGTTTGAAAGGAAACTATTCTACGATTGAAATTGAAGACTATCAAGATCCACCTTGGTGAATGTCCTAAATATTATAATGCATAAAAATGAATCCAAATATTCGGTATTTGGGGTATGCGTTGACGAATATATGTTTCTCACGGTAACATATATATATAATATACATTTGTAAAAGATATTTGTTAAACATCATTTAACGTATATAGTTCTAGTGTTAATAACTGCGTGATATTAGTCGATGATAGTAATTACCTCCTTGCATGAGACTTCCAGGTTGACCAGGTTGAGGTGAAGGGCCACCAGGTAGGGCAGTACCACCGGCTAACAAACTACCGTGTTGTCCACCACCCCCACCGCCACCTTGTTGTGCTGCTTTCATCATCTTCTTATACTTGCTCCTCCTATTCTGGAACCATATTTTTACCTGCAACAAAAATATTACAAACATTGTAGCATAAATTCGGTCACAGATCGTATTGGATGAGTTTTCTTTTTCTTTTTTTTTTATTATTATAGCGTGGGTATAATTTTGCGATTATTATTGAAATTGATGGATACGGAAATATCAACGAATAAGAAGAAGTAGAAGAAGTAGAAGTAGAAGAAGAAGAAGAAGAAAGGAAAAGAGGTACGTTAGTTTCGTAATCATTCGTGTCGTTCCTTCTGCCTACACACATAGAACGTAGTCCTGAAACGGATACCAATGTGCATGTGTACGACGACTGGGATTGCACATGCGGTATTTTTTGTCTTCTCGAAGCGCACACACATGCGCCGTATGCACGTGACGTTCTTTCAACTCTTACGTAAGCTTTTGCATCGTATCCATTCGCAAACTACGTATCTACGTTTATATATATATATAAATGTATGTATATATGAGTATAGGTATGTGTCTGTGTCTGTGTATCTTTGAATGTATATGTCCTCAACTTCGAGGAAGAGGAATATTCCTATTTTATAGGATAAGCCGGATCAATCTTGAAGATCATTCTTATGATTTTATGCGAATTTTGAATCCCGTAATAAATGTACGCTGTAAGCTTGCATTTTCATGCACTGAGAGTTGCTCACTAAATTCTACTAACTTAGTTCGGTAATATTTTTATTATTATACCGAGGGATTGAATATTTTATTATACAAATTTTTATTTATTTATTCGATGTTTTTTTTTGTAACAGGTATCTTGTTATGCACGAGAGTAATATGATTTTTATATAATCAATTATTTTTATAATCATAACAATTTGATAAATTATTGCTGATAGAAATTATTTTAATTTTTGATTTGTAATTATTATCATAACAAATTCGATATCTTGTTTTATAATAAATAATAATAACAATAATATAAATAATCCATTTAACCGAATTTTGGTAAACGTACAATTGCTTCATCCACTCCCAAAAGAAAATAATTACAAATGAATAAAAATATAAAACAAACTAAAATTTGTATAAATCCGTGAAAGGGTTAAAATTAAATAGTATGCAACCTAACGTGAGTATCAATTTAATTAACAAACTCGGGTGTGGCCTTAAGTGCGATGAGTTTGAAGTTGACCAATGACAATGACGAGGAATAGAACTGCACTGGAGAAAAGGGAATGGAAAAAAAATAGAAAAAAGGGGGTTACGTAGGAGAAAGGATTGGGAATAGGGGAAAAAAGGGTTTTGAAATGAGAAAGAGAGAGAAAATTCTCGAAGAAGGTGCACGAGGCGTCGTCACGTCAAAACGAGTTCATTAAAACCGCAGTGCGGGCTTGGTTCCCGAGCAAAGAAGAAACGCACCGTTCCACGCGGCATTGTTTCACGTTTTATATGGCCAACCACCGACGGCAAAACCTCGCCCCTATGCACTACGCGAACATCACGTATACACATTAACACACTTACGTTTGTTATTGTATACGTGATCTAGGAATTTCAACTATAAATATATTCAATTTGATTCAACACATGTATTCAACACGTAACACGTTGCTATTGCATTTGTTATTAAGGAACTTCAACTGGAACTATATAACATTTCATTTCACACATTAACACACATAGACTTGTTATTGTATACGTGATCTAAGAACTTCATTTATAAGTATATAAAACTTCATTCTACATATTAACATACATAGATGTTTTATTTTATTCGTGATTTTGGAACTTCAATTATAACTACATACAATTTGATTTTAGATAGGAATTAACATACATAGATTTGTTATTGTATACATGATCTA